CCGTCCCTGCTGCACTGACTGGGGAAGGGGTGCGCGGATAGCCACGCGCGGTCGATCCCTGTGTCCCTTCACAATGGCTCAGTCACCAGGGAAGCCGCACTGTGTTCACTGTTCAGAGTTCAATAAGTTCATGACACGCTGGAAGGCTGTAAGACGCGAAAAGCTCGGACGCTGATGCAGGTCCTGTCAAGGGAGGCAGATGGACGGGGCAGATCGTCGTGTTTGAATGCGAATGTTTTGTTCATTTCTTTCCGTTAGATGATGTGATTCGTGCGTACAAGTTCCATGAATTATGGCTGATTTGCTTTCCTTATGCACTTTTCTCTCGCATGTATTGTGTTTTATTGTGCTGCGTCAGAGTAGTTTTGTCTTACGTGCATTAACATGGTTTCGTAAATATTTTAGATTTTATTTGTCGAAGAGTGGAAGATGGTGTTCTCAAATTGTTCAGCGTCTCCTTAGTTTTGGTCGCGGTCAAACGTAAGTCTCTGACCTGAGTGGTTGCGGAGGGCCCCGTCGATAAGCGAGCGGCAGCGTCAATTACAGTTCATGGGGCGTGTGGCGTACTTCTTCGATTTCCAATACCATAGCGACGGAGGTCACCAAATCTCCAGCGAAATCCCTGGAGTCTGCGTGAGGGACTGTGATTGCCTCCCGCTGAGTCTCCGTAGATATGGGATTCAACCTGAAACGCTGCACTGCTTATCTCCTGGCTCTCAGGTGATAGCAAGGCTAGAGAACGTCTATGTCAGCTTAAAAGTTTGAGCTCAGAGGCCAGTTTTACTTACCATTAGTAGAATTGTGAGCTGCGGCATTTTTTCTTGCCAAAAGTGTCGCCAGAATTTCGCCAGCTTAACGATGCTGATGTGAAAAATAAACAAACAGCCTAACTGATGTTTGAACATCAGTGAGTTAAGTAATTATATTTTGTTTTACGAGGGGGTACCCAAAAGAAACGGGAATTGTTTCATATCTGTTTATTCACTGATCCCTACACATCGTCACTCATGTCATTCTTAACCCGGCAGTTGCTGGGGTATTTCGCCACCCACCGTTTGCTGGGGGGGGGGCGTTAAACGCCCCCAGCCGATAACTCGAGAACCAATAGGCGCAGCGAAACGCACGAGGCGGCAAACGAAAGAGCGCGACGAGACGCTTCAGATGAGTACTTAAAAGTTGAATTTTGAGGTCACAGGTCGGGTCAAGGTCAGGTCAAACACCTGAAATCGGGCTTTCAGTAGCATGGACTTCAGGACTTCGCAATGGGCGCCTCTCGCCATAAACTCTGTCAAAACGGTGCACAATCCACTCTATAAGGCCTACAAGAGTGTCAGCTCCATATAGGGGTCAGTCACGCATAGGTCAGGGTCAAGGTCAGGTCAACCGGGTAGGCACATATCCCCGAAAATCAAAACTGATATTCGCAGCCTGTGACACGTGTTTTATAAGTAATTTGGGGCGTAGAACACGATGGTGACATTCATTTTATCATATGTGTACGTGTTTGGCTCAAAAACTTCAATTTAAGAAATTCATGTATCATGGTCGTGAAGTAGTCACGAAAAATTGCCAAGATTCAGTTCAAGATTTTGGAAAATGTGGAACGGTAATCAATAATCGAAGATAGCCATTTGATTGATCATGGTATTGGCAGTCTAATGGCGTTTACGGCATGTCTGTATGTCTATTCTGTGATTTTATATGATTTTTTGAACATATGCCGTTTTTGGTCGAAAACTCAGAAATCATGACGTCACCAAAACCTCGATATCTCAAAAATTTTCCGACCGATTTTTTTGAAACTTTGTCACAATGAACTTCAATCAATTCCCTACAGGTACCCAAAATTTGGCGCGCCTGCGGCGCGCCATTTTTATGCTATGGCCCGGCGAAAAAAGTGGGGGCGTTTAACGCCCCCCCCCAGCAACTCGCGGGTTAAAGTAGGTACTCTCCCTGCGAGACAATGCACCTATGCAGACGCGTTTTCCAGCTCTCAAAGCAGCTCTGGAACTCTTGCAAGGTGATGCCTTGCAGAGCCATCGTCGTTTTTGCTTTTACTTTATCAAAGTCGTCGAAATGGTTTCCATTGAGGTCTTTTTCATTCTGGGGACCAAGAAAAGGTCACAGGTTGCCAAATCCGGTGAATAAGGAGGGTGGATCCGTGGGGTCATGCATTTTTTGTACAAAATTGTCTGACACTCAAGGCGGTGTGCGCTGGCATGGCACACTGTCGCGATGAAATCACCACTCCCCGCTTCGCCACCTGTCGGGGAGTTTTCGTCTCACCGTGTTTCACACACGCCGCAGAACGTCCAAGTAAAACGTCTAATTGGCAGTTTGACCAGGGAGGAACAATTTCCTTGTGCACACTTCCCTTTGCATCGAAAAAACAAATCAGCATTGTCTTGACATTTGACTTCACTTGGCAAGCTTTTTTGGGGCGCTTTTGGGATAACATTTGACCACTTTTGAAGTGCGAAAATCATTCATAAACCCGCGTCTTGCTCACGGCAGCATATTTGTATGCTGCTTGAAGCATTGGAACCGTTTCAGTCGCGCACTTCCCCAGCAGGAAACAAAATTTCACAGATGCGCGTTGTTGCTCAGTTCCGCTATGCATAAAAAAACGACGGATCGGGCGGGAGTGCTCAATAAATACGTGCGCCACGCGGCCGCGCCTCTTTATTTCGTCACCTCACGGTGCAGACTAAGTCCCAGGGGCCAGACTGGTTTGCCCCTAGCAGGGCGATGCCGAGCTACAACTGGCTTGGCCTACAGAGAACGATTCCCGTTACTTTTGGGTACCCCCTCGTACGTTATTGGTTAAACTTGTGGGAAGCTTAGTGCTGACCACAGTTTCGACCATTGTTGGGAGTGACGCCCTGCCGCTGTTTTGGTCACATTCACCGAGCCGAGACCAGCCCAGACCCCCAGCGGGACGCCGCCGCCGGGTCTTCCGGGGTCGCTGAGCCGCGCGTTCCGGCGTTTTTGTGTGTCTGCCCTGAATGTAACTGACAGTGCCGCATGCCTGCCATACCGAATCATCAGCGGTGTGCGCCGTTAGGTGTGTTCACGTGAAGAAATCGGTGATCTCCTACGTGAACGTGAACGTGAATCGGTGAACGTGATCTCTCATATGTGATCGAAGGTGATCTTTTACATCTCACGATCTGGCTCCGTTCGTGTCCCGGTGCCTTATCTCACGATCTCCCCCTGCTCCGTACACGACTCGCGAACCTTCGCACCATCCACCTCTGGCTTCTGGAAACTGGCCGTCATATTTCGGTGCCTCCACCGCCGCCGGCGGAGCGGTGCTGGCTGCTGCTCCGGGGCTGTGGCAGCTCGTAAACTGTGCAGACCGCCGCGCCGTGGGGTGCCGCCTACCCCACAAGGTCACGGACTCGGGCGCCCATGTGCGCCTTCACGCCCGCTGGCCGTGTGCGGCTCCACGTCCGCTGGCCATGTGCAGCGTCTGGTGGCGAGCGTCCGGTGTCCAACCGACGCCGTCCGGCGGCACGTTTTGTGGCCGTTTCTGACGTCCTGTCCTGCGCTTACGTCCGCTCACGTGCGGCCGGCGTCACCCCCCCCCCGTGCGGTGGTCCGTGACCTCGGCGGTTCACGGTCACGGCGAGAGCTCGTCACGGACTCCCGCACAGTGATGAGCGGCAGCCGCGCCCCGAGGCAAGCGGAACGTGTGGCCAGCGAGCCTGATCGGCCAATACATAACTGCTTTTATTTAGGTTTTGAGCTTTTGGGTCTTATTGTTTAATCTGTAGATATTGTGAATAAAAAAATGCTGTTAATTTTCCTTAGCAATAACTTTCGGTAACATGATGTTCAGACACCTAAATTTTGTAACTATGGCTCGGAGCTTTCATCTGCTCCACTCCATGGCCATTGGCCAGTCGTGTGGCGCGGAAAGGGGGAGGGGTTCTGTCTGACCGACGGGACCGCCGCCGCCCGCCTGTGTGGCGCCTGCCGTCAGCTCTTCAATCGATAGTCGCGGCGGCGCGGCGGTTTAAGAGGAGCTCATGCTGCTCTCCACTCGTCTCCTATGGGTTCCTTGCAGAGCCCACCAGAGCCCCCAGCTCATGGCAAAGCTACAGTTTCGCTAGTGATGAGACTGCTGCCAGCAGACGGTGGCCGTTCTTCATTTGCCGCGCACCAGCTCGGCTGTTCTGTTCGGTGAACATTCATCGGAGGAGCACACCGTATTAGTGATGTAAATTACGGAAAATCGGAATACCGATATCAAACCAAATACTAACCAAAACCGTGGGGAAATACCGAAACCAAACCAAATTGAGAACATGAGGGAAATACCAACTTTTTACCGATTTCTTAGCCTCTTATGCATAGGTGAGGGTTCATGATACCAACAAAATACCAAACACATTAGGATTGAAATACCAAATACCAAGTTGGTATCGGTTTGGTATCGGTATACCAAAAAGTTGGTATCCGATTGACATCTCTACACCGTATACAGTGAACTGTGGCATGTTCATGAAAGCTGTTCACGCCCGGCATCGGCCGCCGACCTGCCACCGGTCGTCATAGGCGCGTTTTCCCAGACACTACTGGCAATATATCGCCGCAGGGAGGCATGTCTTGAGGTGGTTTTGGGGAGCGTGGGAAGCGGTTAAAAGTTATTGGTCCCTGTGGTACACCTCAACCACACCAGCCGACGTCGTTTGGTGGTAGTAAGACATGCCTCCGCTGTCCGCAGATTGGTTCGTCCACCGTTGTCAAGGGGGATAGTATTCGGCTTTGTTCCGCCCGAAGTTGGCCGATGTTGTGGATTCTTGGGAAATTGATATCAATAAGGTGCGTGTCAAGCTGTCTCGTCTTTTCTGCTGTCAATATGCTCCAAATTATATTTGCGAGGCTCCCATTAAAAAAGGAAATTAATGTACGTTTTCAAAACAGTGATTTGATCATTATCAGCCTTCCTGTGTGTATTGCTTTCTTTTCTACATCAGCGTTCTCTTTGCCCGCAGGTGATGGACAGGGAGCAGAAGCGATCCAGGCGGCGGCCGAAGAGGCCGGCCACATCCTCCGAAGAACCTCAGGAGACGGCTCGCGTGGACGAGCGCGGCGGTGTGCTGCGCGTGCAGCGCTCCACCAGCTCGGAGGTCGCCGAGGCGGTGGACGAGGCCGGTGCTCCCGTCTTCGTGGAGCGTGTCCGCACTCAGGTGCACAGCTCGGACAGTCCGGTCGGCGGTGAGTCCCCGCAGTCGGAGAGGCGCGTCCCACAGACCTCCGACGTCGAGTACGTGGACGAGGACTTTGAGCTGCCGGAGCCCAAAACTGAGACGCAGACAGAGGAGTATGAGGACGAGGAGGGCCGGCGGGTGGTGGTCACCACTACCATCACCACCACGTACGAGCAGACGGAGGACGAAGAGGGCAACACAGTCATCCTGGAGAGGGTGCATCGAAGGGTGCAGCGAACAGTCTACGTCGATGGCGAGGCAATAACAGAGCAGCTGGAGGAGCCCAGCACGCCCAAGCCCAAAGACACCGGCGTGGTCTATGTGGACGAGGACTTCCAGATTCCCGAGCCTTCCGAGACGACCACTGTGCAAGAGTACATTGACGAAGAAGGCCGCCGGGTGGTGGTGAAGACCATCACGAGAACCACCTACGAAGAGACAGCAGACGATGACGGATGTCCTGTGATCTTAGAGAAAGTCCAAAAGAAGGTGCAGCGCACGGTTTATGTCGATGGCGAGATTGTGGAAGAGACCATCGATATGCCTGAAGGCGCTGAAGAGGAGATTGAACTGCCACCTTCAAGTGTGAGAGAGGAGGTGGAAGAGCAGGTCGATGAACTGGGGAGGAAGGTTGTGATAAGGTCCGTGTACACTACTACGTATGAGCAGGACAGTGATGCGGATGGAAATATTGTGATATTAGAAAGGGTTCAGAAGCGCGTCTTTCGTACCGTTTTTGTTGACGGCAAGGAGGTTATCGAAGAAGATCCGGTACCGGCTAGGAAACAGTCGGTGGAGTATGTGCTTGAGCTGCCTGAGTCGAAAGTCGAAGAGAAGTTTGACTCTTATCTTGATGAAAATGGGAAGAAATGCACAATTAAAACTATAATCCGAACAACGTATGAAGAAGGCAAAGATGACGACGGAACACCGGTCATTCTTGAGAAAATCCACACGACCAGGATTACCTATGTGGATGGACAGGAAGTTGTAGAGGAACTTCCAGCACTTGTGGGCGACCACATGACAATGACACCTGGTGGTACCACTCTGCCAGAGCCCAAGGTTACGGAGGAGGAACGAACGTACACCGATGAGCTGGGTCGTACAGTTGTGGAAAAGACCATTATTACCACTACCTACCAGAAGGGACAAGACAATGAAGGCCGTCACGGCATTATAGAACATGTGCATCGCCGAGTGATCAAAACCATCTACGTGGACGGAGAGATTGTGGAAGTTGTGCGAGAACCCTCTCCAGAGCCAACTGCGCAACAAAAACTGGTGGATGGAGTCGAGCTTAGTGTAAAACGAAAACCTCCGCAGACCAAGACGGTCCTGCTGGAAGAGCTGAAGCTTCCAGAGCCTTCAGTCATCGAAGATGTCGTGGAACGTACGGAACCAGATGGTCGACGAGTCGTCATCCGAACCATAACGACAACGTCATACAGTTCTGAAAAATTAGACACCGGAGAGCTTGTGGTGTATGAAACGGTGCACCGTCGAGTCATTCGGACAGTCTATTCTGGTGAGGAAATTATTGAGGTAGTTGAAGAACCGACATCTCCGGCAACAGTGACAAAGAAAACACCGGAACAGATGGCGGAAGTGATGAACCAGTCCCTCAATATAGACGACATCGAACTCCCAGAGTCCAAAACTGAGGAGCATGAAGAGGAAAGCGTTGATGAACAGGGAAGAAGAGTTGTGAGCAAGATTTCGACGACGACCTCTTACGAGAAACAGTCTGATGGTGATGGTAACATTGTGATCCTGGAAAAGGTGAACCGTCGTGTTCGTCGGATAGTTTACGAGGGCGACAAAGTTGTCGAGGAGATTGAAGAACCTGATTCAGTGAACACTATGCAACGACCCAAACAAACCGAAGTAGCCCGACAGACGACGAGTGCGTGGACAAAAGAGTTGAAACTTCCAGAACCTTCCACGCTGGAGGACATTGTAGAACACACGGAGGCGGATGGTCGAAGGGTGGTTACCAGAACCATCACCACAACAACGTACAGTGCGGAGACGTTTGAAACAGGCGAAGTGATCATTTACGAGAAGGTAGAGTGTCGTATTACTCGAACCGTGTATCTTGGAGACCAGATTGTGGAAGAGGTTGAAGAACCGAAGAAAGAACCCACCATAACCAAGAAAACAGTTGAGGAACTGGAACAGATCCTTAAGAAGGGCTCAGCGATGGCTGACGTGCCTCTTCCTGAACCCAAAGTAGAAGAAGAAACTGAAGAACACGTGGAAGACGATGGTAGGCGGATAGTTATCAAAACTGTTACCACAACAACGTATGAAAAAGAGATTGACGACGACGGCAGCATTGTGATCTTGGAGAATGTGCAACGTCGCATATTCAAAACCGTTTATATTGGGGAGGAACTTATCGAAGAGGTTGAAGAACCAGATACTGTCACCAATATCGGCAGTCAACTTTTGCCCCCCACTGGTGGTAGTGCTGGTGATGACCCGAGTGGCAAGACAGAGAAAGGCTTACAATCATCAAAGGTGGAAGAGATCACTCTGCCAGCACCATCGACCGAGGAAGATATCGTGGAGCACACTGAACCAGATGGACGAAGGATAGTGACCAAAACCATTATGACCACCACTTACGAAGTTGAGGAAGTGGCGGGCGAGCTGGTCATTTACGAGAAGATCCAGCGTCGTGTCATTCGAACAATTTACATCGGCGAAAACGTTGTTGAGGAGTCTGAAGAACCGTGCAAGGAGCCAGTGGTGGCGAAGAAGACCCGTGCAGAGGTGCTGGCTCTGGTGCAGAAAGATGCTGCAGTCGTTGATGTTGAACTTCCCGAGCCAAAGACAGAGGAGACTACTGAAGAGCGCATCGACGATGAAGGAAGGCGCATCGTAACAAAGACCGTCACAACTACCACGTGCGAAAAGAGCGCGGATGATGAGGGAACTGTTGTCATTTTGGAAAAGGTGCAGCGCCGCATCTTCCGGACAGTTTACATTGGCGATGAAATTATTGAAGAAGTTGAAGAGCCAGATACCCTACCCGACATGAAAAGCACACCGACGCCCGTTCCGAGGAGCTTGGTATCTACAGCAACGAAGGAGCTGTCTGAAGTGCAGAAACTTCAACGAGTTGAAGGTGATAACCAAGTCGTGACTCTGCCAGAGCCTGTAGTTGAAGAAACTACGGAGGAATATGAAGAAGATGATGGCAGACGGATTGTGGTGCATACTATCACCACTACTACCTACGACAAGCGAGAAGAAGATGGTTCTCTAGTAATCGTAGAGAGGGTCCAGAAGCGGGTGAGAAAGACCATTTACGTAGACGGGGAGCTAGTCGATATTATAGAAGAACTACACGGAAGTGCAGACGAATCCTCCTCAGCGGCGGATGACGCTCCAGCTCTCATAGAGTGGAACGAAGAGTCGGATACGACAGCCGACACCTACAATAGTGAGCCTGCCACTCCAGTGAAGGTTCCTGGTATTCCCCACGACGACGAAACGAAATCCGACGCCAAGGTTTTGGAAGCTGAAAGTCTTTCGGCTCGCACAGAAACAGGCGAGGCTCAGCCAGAGAAACTTCCCGATGAAGACCTTGTCATCGTGCACAAGCTGGAAGAATTCATTCGCTACATGCCTGCACTAAGTGGCAAGCTTGTAGACGAACCACAGGTGGATGAAGAAGAAGTAGAGAAGATTGAGGATGGACAAAAGGTGACTTACAAATACATTACGATCACCGTCATCGAGGAGAGAATTGACACACACGGCAGACCTCATACCGTGAAGCGGCTCGTAAAACATGTCATCAAAACAACGTTCGTGGATGGGAAACCACTGGTGGAGGAGAGCTGCGAACCAGAAATCGTTGAAGAGATGATTAAAGATGACGCACCTCTCAAGCGTGAAGTGAGGGAGCCTGAGAAGATCGTGACACCTGAGGATAGGTTACGCGAAGACAAGCAGGCCCCGCCGAGTGATGAGCCGAACCAAACAGCTGACTCCGTGGTGAGTCCGAGATCCGATACAGAAAACATAGTCCTGACACAGCCAGAGCCTCAGAAATCCCGTGAAACCATTGCTCCTGTAATGTTATCGACTATGGAGAAGTCACCAGTGCAGGATGCTCCCGCTGAACCCGAAAATTCGGATGTGAAGGCAGCCAAAAACCTTGACAACAAAGAAGACGAAAATGCTGTGAAGGTGTCCCCGAAACCATTTGAACTAAATGCCGCGTTGGACGTAACGGTACAAAAGCCGTGGTACGACAAGATTTTGATGGACAGAGCAGAGGAAATGTACTACACGAGAGTCGTGCGTCATGAAATGGATGATCGAGAGACTAACGTAACTACCCATATAGAATCTGTGCCGGCAACTCGCAAAGATACTTCAGATACTAAGGAGAAGCATGCATCACTTGAAAAATCAGCAGACACTTCACAGCATCATCTTCCTTGTGAGCCTTTCTGGCTAGACACATTCGACCTTTTTGCATCAGAAAAGAAATACTACGAAAATCTTGCGACTACAAACGAACCAAAAGCGGAAGAGACGGATCGGATACCCATTGATGCACGGATGATCGATGCTGAAGAACCACCAAAGAAGATCCTTGTGGATACCGTCACTTCATTTGCCCTGCATGATCTGTCCAAAGTATATCAGCTCAGAGACGCAGAAAGGTCGTTCTATGAGGCCAAGGAAGCTATGAGATCGCATGAACTCGTCTCGGTTCCGGCGGAATCACAGCGTGATAGTGAAGCAGAAAATGCACTGGAACTGGAATCCCCATCGTTGCAGTCAAACGAGCCAGTCATGGAAGCTTCAGGCACATCTGACCAAAATCTTGCCCTGGAAACCGAGGTGAGACCTGTGGAAGATATCAGCAATGTTATGCGAAAGCATTTCGAGCACCCGTCACTGCCAGATGAGCCGCCGTCACGGAAAGAAGCGCTTGATATTGCAGTCGCTCCATCGGTGCAATGGCCTGAAGCGGAAAAACAACCAAATCTGGATGCTGTGGGTGGCATTTATGAGACGGTTCAGGACCAAATGAAGTATTCTGTCATTCCTCAACCAAACACTCGGAGCTCTTTGCCAGATATAGAAGAGCTGATGAAAGAAGCGGTGACCAGATCAATTCAAGAAGAACACCTAAGACAGGAAGGAGGCAAACCGGGTATTGTTGAACCCAACAGGAATATTGAAGAGCCCGCCACCATTGAAAAGCCTCAAGGAGATGATTCATCTACACTTGGTCCAACTCTTTGCTTGGAGGAAGAGGCGAGGCCAGTTGAGGACATCAGCAACATAATGGAAACTCGTTTCGATCAACCGTCTGCGCCGCTGGACGTCACTGTCCGAGCAGAACCGACCAATGTCGCTATTGAGCCTTGGGCTAAATGGCCTGAGGCGGAGAAAAGGACGGTGCCAGTCGCCGACGATCGGTATCAAACAGTAGAAGAACAGATGCTGCACACCATGCCAGTAGAGGACAAGGAACTGAGCTCTCTTCCAGATGTTGATGAACTTATTCCCCGTGCACAGGAGGAAAAGATGTCTCCAAGCTCGAAGGAGGTGCATGATTTACCAGAACTTGAAAGACCTATGGGCGAAGACGAAAGCCTTCATTTGGTGT